CCGGTTTGAAGGCGAATTCACCGTAGCAGGAGCGAATGGCACCGTCGAAGAGTCCAAAGGGCATACCATGCACGATACACTCCTGCAACAGTTCAAGGGACGAACATGGTCCGCATCAACATTCCTCCCTCTCCTTCGCATCCACCATCCGAGATTGGGCTTGAGAAGCACAATGAAACGGCGATACCCAATTCGAGTGATTATATGCGTATTGCGTGGAGTAGAGGTTGAGTCCCAAGTCCAACCTTTTTTAGATCTCAACTTCCTTTCACGTCATTCAGGTCCACGGAAAACCTGGCATTTCTCCTCACTGGAAACCTGAAATCAAACACAACATCCTCAGGCACGCGAATTCTAGCAATGGAGGAAGAACTTCGCGTGGCGATGAAGCATAAACGACGAAGCAGAGTTTATGTTGTCCGATACAGGGAAGTTTGGATGAGGATCTGGATGAAGGGCTGATGAAATTTGAAGTGGAAAAGAGGCAGTTGAGGCGGAAGACGCGGGATTCGAAGTGGAATTAGGGATTGAGGCGGAAGGAAAAATTTGGATGATTGGAAGGGCCGGGACGGGCGCGATCTCTTTCCGCCATGTTTGTTCGCACTGGCACACCCTTGCATTCTCCATTTCCAGCCTCTGATCGTCACTCTGCGTTATTTGGCCCAAGATGGGCTACGTCCTCGTGCGGCTTTGGCATCACTGCGTGCAGACAACTTCCTTGAACAGCGTGGAGTCGAAGCAGAGGCGGTTGAAACCTCAGTGATTTCTCGACGAGGGTGCTTCGATTTGATTCCCATATTATGACTGGCACTAGGTCGGCCATGTAAACTTGGATGGCGGGATTGGGATCTCAAGGGGGGAGTACAAAGGAGGGTCGAAGCCATGCGATTATGGTGGGTTTATGTGGGGGGTGTTACCTAGTGCTTCAATGAGTTGTGATTTACACCGACGTACTGGTTGTGTACGAAGACTTGTACTGTATGTGTTTCCAGAGTGGTGGCCGCCTTTAGCAGGACTTGATCATCACGCGCTTCTGTTACTGAGGGTAG